TGTTTATTGGCATTATACCCGTTAAAAAGGAAAGACAGCAAATCAAGTTACTTGAATTATGGAAATGGAAGAATTTTGTAATATTGTTACTGACTCAACTTACCATCCTTCATCAAATTAACAACTTCTAATGTTGGAGGATTAACTTTTAGTATTGAAGAATTAACACATTAACAGCACTTGAGATTTTTAAGCTATGAGGCTACATAATTTAAACAATCATTTCCTTTTCCATCTAAGAATAGCCTCTCTCCATTAACTTTTTTCCCTCACAACTTCAGCAAATTCAGTCTCAGAGTCCATAACAATGAAAGAATGTCGGTCTAATTTGTCTATATGCAAATTATTCACCTTTGTAGTCAGTATATCAGGGTCACTACAACAAAAATGGCCTTTCCTGACACGCCTATAAGGACACTTGCTGGTTTTTGTCATTATAGCACTTCTATCATGACACTTGTTATCAATTCAATAATATATACTTTAATTTTTTTATTTTATCTGATATAAAAATAATAATGTGTCTTTAGATTCCCTATCATGACACTTGAGAAAATGTGAGATACACCAAAAAAATTAAAACATAAAACAATGTCGTTTGATTTTGATGGAAGATTCCTTTGCCAAAACACTTAGTGAAATCTCAAAACTTTCATTTTGCCGGCCAGCGAAATTTTGGTTCTTCTCATCTATCTCACAAACTCTCTTTCTCAGCAAACTATCTCTCAAAACTCCCCCATTTTGGTTCTTCCGTCTTCCGCCTTCGCCGCCACCCCACTCTCCCATTTTCAGTTGCTAACTCGGCCGCTTCTCTACCCTCCTCGTCAACCACGACACCTGCACCAATAAGCCTTCGCTCTCTTTGCTAGGACAAAAGAATAAGAAAACAAATACTCGTGCTCTTTCCTTTTTCTTCTTTCCTCTGAAACCCATCCTCGTGCTTCTCCTTACTGACTAGATATTCAGGTTGAGCATGCTGAGGAGTAGAGTAGGCGAAGGTTGCTGCCATCGTCTCATTGGAGTCCAGCCACTACAATAGAAATCATCACTGTAAAGTTTCCCGCACTCTTATACCTTTTTCCCCCTTAATTGTATTATTTTCTTCTTTGTCTGCAATCATGTCGGTTATGCTTTACTTTCGTCTTGTTAATCAATTTTAAGTGGCTGGAATTGATCATAGGTTTGAGTAGAGTTTTAGATTTAAAATTCAAGCTCAAGCCGTCTAAGGAATTGATGAAAAAGAAATTTCAAAATTTTTCATGCTCACTACCTGTTTGTCGAAAGGTTCGAATGAAGAAAGAAGGAATTTGCAAGGAAGCGAATAGAGAGATGAGAGTGAATAATTACTGCTATGATATGACTACTGTGAATCTCATTCTATCTTTTATTAATTCACTCCAATTTGTGCTGAAAGAGAAATTGTGTGTTTATACACATGGTTCGAAGACTCGGCCTAGTCGTCACCATCTCGGCCTAGGCCGAGACGATACCGCAACGAATCGAGACCGAGATACTCGTCTCGCTGAGAAATCGGCCGAGACGTCACCGCGACGGGTTGTCACGGTCGAGTCACCCCGAGTCACCCCGAGTCAATGTGAATTTAACAAAAAATCTTAAGAAAAAAAGGATTACAAAGGGGAAATTCGGGGACCTCTATACTGCCTATATCAAACCATGGCTAGTACTGATGATCCTTCATACGGGGAAAGAAATACGAGTGATGGACAAGTTATAAAAGACTTCGTGGGGCCTTCTTTGGATTAATCATAGTGGTTCCCTATTCTATTTCCAGGCATAATTGGGACAAGCTCATTCGAAACACCGGACATAATTGGGAGAAGCACTGGGACCGCAGCTCAATTACATCGACCCTTGGAGTAAAAACTACAGCTAGATCCTAACACATGAGAAGGAGAAGTCAAAGGTTGAAATCATTCATTGGGAAATAGAAACAAATTTGCCACAGTACTATCACGTGAAAAGATGCGTTTTCTTTTCCACCTTGAAGGTACTACCTTCACTTTACTTTGAAGGTACCACCTTGAATTTACCACGTTAAACATACTACCTTCACTTTACTTTTCTTTTCTTAGTATTGTCTGATTCCCTAAGCTCTTTTGCTTTGTTTTCGAACTTTCAGACGGACTTGGTTCTTATTTGTTAGCTCTAAATAAGAAGACATATGAGTAGGCAGAAGTAAGCACTGCGGGAAATCCTCCGGGCAACTACAAAGAACCTAGGATGACCAGTTATCTCTGTGCAATTAGTTTCATTGATCTTTTTGTGTTGATTCCACTCCGAAAGGTACATGTTCACGAATGTATATGACATTTGTCTTTATTGTTGGTTTTGTTCATTTTCTTATATCTTTTGTTCATCAGATCTGCTGCAATTTGTTAACTTTAACATCTTTTTTGGTCAAGTTTCTAAAATTTTAATGCCAACAAGTCCAAATTTGCAAACAAGAAAAAAGAATCAATAAAATCGCAGAAGTTCCACATATAACTCTTAATCAGGTCTTTTTTTTTTTTTTTTGCCATTACAAACTATGGTATCTATATTGGTAGTTAGGAAGAGAATTACAGCCATCGCAACAGACAATAGCCAGGGGAGGGAGTGTAAGGTATATCGGTATGGAGAAGATGTCCAAATGAGAATCACAACTAGACAATAACCTTATCACTTTGGTGACAAACCATTTGATGAATTAACTACATAATTGAACACTTCAATCAAGCGAATCATAAAGGTCCTTCCTACTGTCAATATCTTAAATTCTGCTATTATATTTGATCCCCGGAGACCTGAAGGCCATAAACAACGGATAGCTAAACAACGGAGACCAGAAGGCCATTATCAGAATATGGCATAAACAACCATTTGGCAAAGTACAAATTGGTATCATATTAGCTATTATTGATAGGGACAATGGATAAGTTACATTGCAGAAGTCGTAGAGATTTTCTTTAGTGGGTCGGCAGACAATTTCAAGCAATGATTGACAGTGTAACAGAATAGAGCCGTTGCATTGGCTCTACTTAAATTTTAGAATGTGATTCCTTCGTATGGCACTAGCTGGTGCAATAGGACTAGTTTCTGGTGTTTTGGTGGAATTGCTTTTCAGGAAGTCTGTCTGGTTGTGTTCTGACTTTGTTTGCATGGGCGAGTGATTTTTAGTTGGCAATAATTTTCCCTCTATAAATTTAGTAATCCTTATGTATAAATCAAAAACTTTTGTAATTCTTGGACGACCAGGTTGCAAAGTGAGCGAAAAATCATGTCTAGATATATATATATGACAATGGTTAACAAAGAAATTAGAGAGATATGAGAACTGCTTCCACTGTACGTGTATATTTTTCTACTAATAGAGAGGGACATTTTGTATTATCTTCCAACTTATTATAATACATAATCATCCTGGTGATCATGATCATGAACTAAAAACTATAGGAAGATGGAGAGCTAAATTATATGTTTAAGTTAATCACCCATCAACAAACAAAATGCCGAAGTTCTTATAATAAATGAAAAATTGATCATTGTTGCAGGTTTACATTATAGATTAGATGTTTAACTTACCAATATAATAGAAATAAATTATTACAATTATAAAATGCCAGAAACTGCTTGTTGTATTTATTTCCATATATCTTTAATTATTTTGTGATGTATTAACCATTTATATTGATATGTGTAATAGTCACAATGACGAGCAAGGATATTGGTTGGGAACATGGTAAACCCGTGGGTGGGAATAGAAAAATTGTGAGATGCAATTATTGTGAAAAAATAATGCATGGTGGCATTACAAGGTTGAAAGAACATGTCGGTCATGTCATAGGACAAGTTGAACCTTGTCCAAGGGCCTCAAGTGAAGTTAGAGATTTAATGAAAATGCATCTAAAGGTTGGTAAGATTCAAAGAGTTACAATAAAATAGAAAAAAGAAGAAATATTGAATTCTTTCCAACAAGAAAGTATGTATGGTAATTTCAACATGGTTGGCGACGAGGAGGACGAAGTCTTTTTTGAAATTGATGAAGAAAGTCAGATGGCATTGGAAAAAAAACAGATGAAGCAAGCAATTAGAGAGAGCCAATACTTGCAATTTTTAGACGAACAATGAAGGCATTCGGTATCTGGGAGTCGACCTTCTATGTTTATGTCAGGTATGATTTGTAAACTAAAATATTATAACAAATTTGATATTATTTTATTAAATATAATTACATAAAGTTGCAATTTAGTCATTCATTTTTTATTTGTTAAATATTGTGAATTTTAGGGAATATGGGTATTGGCACTTCAAACCCAACGACTTCTGAAAATAAAAAGAGGATTGTCACGTAATTTCAGTGTCAGACAAGCAGATGAAATGACAAGCAGAGGAATTGACTCACATATGTTTCCTTCGAAACAAAAATCAGTCAAATCAATGTTTGCGAAGGAAAATATAAAAAGAGTTGGTAAGACAGTTTCAAAGTTTTTTCATTTCAATGCTATTCCATTTCATGCAGCTGACAATCCTTATTATCAATCGATGATTGATGAAATTGTCAAAGCTGGTTCTAGTATTAAAGGCCCTTCAGCTTATCAAATTGGAAATGAATAGTTAGATGAAGAATTTGAAGAGCTTGAGAAATATCTTGGAGATATTTATGATAAATTTTCAACTTTTGGTTGTACACTTATGTGTGATGGGTGGAGCACTCTTACAAAACATCCAATAATAAATTTTATGGTATACTGTGATAGGCACATGATATACCATAGTTCAGTTGATTGTACCAATATCAAGAAAACTGCTGAATATATTTTCAAGTTAATGGATGAGGTAGTAGAGGTTGTGGGAGAAAAAAATGTTGTGCAAGTTGTGACAGATAGTGAATCTAGTATGAAAGCAGCTGGACAACTGTTGATGAAAAAAAAGAAAAAATCTTTTATGGTCACCTTGCGTTGCGCATTGTATAGATTTGATGTTGGAGGATATTGGCAAAAATGGATAATGTAAAAGAAACTATTGCTCGGGGGAAGAAGATAACAAGTTTCATATATAACAGTGACAAAGTAGTGAATCTGATGAAGACATATACAAAAAAAAGGGAACTGCTACGTCCAGGTATCACTAGATTTGCAACTGAATTCATTTCTATGGAAAGTCTTCTTCGGCATTCTACAGAACTGAAAAGAATGTGCACCTCAGATGAATGGGCAGAGTTTAATAACACTATCAAGAGAAAAGCAGAAGCTATTAAAGTAGCTGAGTTGATATTGTCAGAGAAGTTTTGGAAAAAAGTTAGAAATGTGTGTGCAATAATGGAGCCTCTGGTCAAAGTTTTAAAAACTATTGATCAAGATAATAAGCCAACATTGCCAATTATTTATGAGGCAATGGATAGAGCAAAAATGGCTATTCAAAAGTCGGTGAAATCTTGGAAAACAATTTGGGAAGTGATTGATAATAGATGGTACAATCAACTTCATCGGGATTTACATGCGGCAAGTAATTTAAAATATTACATCCAATTTAAATATGTAGTATATATTTATTTATTTATTTATTTTCTAATTTTGTTATTTTATTGTATTTAGCATATTTTTTGAACCCGATCCTTCAATATTCTGGAACTTGTGAGTTTAATCTGGATGAAGTTCGAAAAGGGTTAAAGAACGTCATTGCAAAGTTGGAGCCAAATTTAGATGCACAAGTTGATTCAATAAATGAGGTATTCTTTTGATTATTTTATTTATTTATATTAATCAACAAATTTTAAAATTTTAACACCTGTGTATACATTATTTTTGTAGATCAAAATTTTTGCAGACAAAAAGGGAGGCTTTGGAAGTGCTATTGTAGCAAAAGCATTACCAAAATCTTTACCAGGTTTCAACTTAATTCATACTTACATAAACATCTAAATCATATAAATGAAGTTAATATTTTTATAATATTAAAATAATAATAATAAATGAATGTTATTATTACTTTGTTTGTTTAGCTGAATGGTGGCTTAACTACAGTGAAGATATGCCAAACTTAAGGAATATTGCAGTGAAAATATTGAGTCAAACCTGCACATCCTTTGGTTGTGAGCGAAATTGGAGTACATGGTCATTAATTCATACAAAACTACGCAACCGTTTGGCAGTTAAAAAATTGCATAAATTAGTTTTTGTGCATTAAAATATGAGATTGAAGGTGAAAAATTTGATGCATCAAAGAGATACTGATGATTTCTACAACCCAATTGACTTGAATCACATTTTTCACCAAGATGATATATTGGATGATTGGATAAGAGAAAATGAACAACCCATATTGCGTGAAGATAATCTGGATTGGTTGGATAAGGGCATTCATCAAACTGAATCAGAAAGTAGTGAATATCAAGAACATGACAACGATGGTTTTGGTGATACATTGTCCCAATATATTACCAAAAGAAATAAGAAAGGTCTTGCTGCATCCTCAAGTAGGAAACAAGAAAGTAAGACTAAACAAACCAATAAGCAGACTGTTCCGTCATCTTCAAATAAAAGTGACAGCAGTAATGATGATGATGACAATGGTGACAATGGAGATGGAGGGAACAATTCTTTCAGGCATAGTGGTTACAATCAAGATAGCCAACAAGCAGGAGGTATGTCATGGGCTCAAGGACAAGATAATTATTATGCCACTCAAGATACTGATCATGGCTATCGTCCTGGTATAGAAGCACAACGTCAATTCCTCAATGATTTAACTCAATTTTCAAGTGAGGATACTTTCTCTCACCATTCAGGGTCACAAAGATATAGAGGAGTCAATGATCAGATGCAAAATTTGGGTATATACCCAACTTATGAGCATGAATCTAGTCAAAACCGTAGTACTAGTCAATTGGGATATGGCTATAACCAATCATATGGAATCACTCCTGACTATTACAGTGGATATCGGCCATTTGACAGATCTGGACAGGTTGAAAGGTCTACTAGCATTCATGGTAGTGGATACTATGAAAAAGAAATAGATAAGTCTCAAGATGGTTCTTCTTTTGATTCCAATAACATTGGATTTTATGGTCATGATTCTACTGCATCATATGGTACTAGCGATAGTGTTAACTATCGAGGGTTTGGATACTACCATCAACAAATCATCTCCAATCCAGAAGTTCTTCCGTCCAATGATTATGGAACATCTAGTCAATCCTCACATCCAATAAATACACCAGATAACTCGTATACACTACCTACTCAAGGTCCTATGCCACTTTCACATCTGTTTTACCTTCATCGACAAATGAGGATGATTTTGAGCCACATCGTCATTCTACTTGGTATTAACAGGTATGAAAATATAAAGTACTAGTATATCTTTTTACATATTTACCTTTTATCTAATATGATTTCTTTTTATTTTTGGCAGGAGATTGATCAAAATATTCCAACTTTATGCTATAAATAAATCTTTAGTTTGTATTGTTAATGGTTGATATTACTTTTGCAATTATTAGTTTTAAAATTGTGGTCTATCTTATTTTGATTTTATTTGTGATGCCATTGTTTTAAATAATTAAAAGTACTATCGTGTGTAATATGTATAAAAATAGTACATTTTACAAATTTTCTTTTGCTATTTTTTATTATTTTTGTTTAGCATACTTTCTTTTATATTATTAACAGTTTTTAGAATATTAAATGTTTTAAAATTTGCGTCTCACCGAGACCGTGACCGATATGCCGAGACCGATGTGGAACGTTCCGGGCCGCGACCGCGACTTTGAACCATGTTTATACATGAGAATCATACCCATGCCATGCTTGCTAAGGAAATCAAGGAGAAAACCACAGAACTGAGGTACAATATTCTGCCATCAGATATCTTGTAGATGATGGTTCATTATTTTGGGATACTTATGATGCCATCCCATGTGTAACAGACATCTCAAAGGTGAAGAGCTAGTAGGACTGAGCATGGAAGACTTGGTTAAACTCGAAAAATTGGTTGAAGCAGGGTTAAGTCGTATTGCCAAAACCAAATTCCTGTCATGTTATGTCTTCTTTCAAGGTCTTTCAATTGTTGCATAGTGTTGACGTACTATGTTTTTTCGATTTCAGGGTGACAAATTCATAAAAGAAATTGGTATTCTCAAGAAAAAGGCTAGTGACAAATTACCCTTATCAGCTGTTTCTATTTGGTTATCTATCAATCATTTTCTGTTATTCTGTATTTCATCACATAATAAAATGGGAAATCTTCAATTTGACAATCTGGAGATAAAAAAGTGTTATTGGGCTTTCATAAAATTGAAGATCATTTGTAACCAACAATAATGCTATAGGAGCAATTTACTTAAAGATTCCAATGGAATATCATTTGGTTGACTGCATTTAAATGTGTGTTCTTGGTTGCTAACTTATCTTCACAAAATGAATTGCAGGAAGCATTATTAAAGGAAGAGAATGCGAAGTTGAGACAGAAAGTGCATGACGTGACAGTTTCCCTTTTCCTTTATTTCTTTGTTTCACCCCTCTGCATGAGCATGCTGCAATCTTTTGCCTTTCTGACTGATAATTGCAGGTAGCAAGCTCATCGGAAGAGCAAACACCTCTGCTGTAGTGAGGGCTTTCATCTGAGTCAGTCACCCGCTTAAGCGACCAAGCCGGAAGTTGTCCTCAGGACCTCAACAATTCGGACACATTTCTCTAGCTGGGGTATGTTTGTTTTAAGTCAAACATGGATCGGATAATTTGTTACAAGAATAAAATGAATTACATTTGTGGAATATATCCAACATTTGGATCTTATATCTGGACGACATGCTGCATATCAGTTGAATGGGGGGCATCTCATTCTGTTTGGTTTTGTCACAATAGATGGCTTGTATTTAAACAAGAAGAACAAAATGAAACTAAAGTAAGATTTCATTTTCGGAATGCATGATTCAAGGCCATGTGATCGTCTGGCAATGACGTGAAAAGAAAAGTGAACAGCTAGTAAGCTATCACAAGGCAGTCTTTAATGCTCTTGGATTGAAGTTTTTCTTCAGTAGCATGGCAACTGCTAGCTATGTAGAGAGATTAGAGTCAGACAAATTCGAATGCACAAATTATTGTAGGTGGAAAAAAAGGGAGGGTGGAGAATTGTTGTTTGTTGTGCATTAATGATACGTTGTATGAATAGGTGTTTGCGGTTGCATAAAACAGAGCTAGCATGCATGTAAGTATCTTGGCAATCATTTGATAGAGAAACCTGTTTAACTTGGGGTTGAATTTTTGTAGCTTACCATGTCCCAACTGAATTGCAGGGAGGATGAGATTGCAGTTGTAGAAGATCGAATATATAATTTGAGCATAACTGGCTCTATGATACCCAGAAATTGTGGTTTATGTTGCATTATTTTTTAGTTTGTGCACGAGAATTTTTCAAGTTTGTACACATGAGAATCTTTTAGTTTGTGCACAAGAGAATCTTTCAAGTTTGTACTTGTTAGAGATTTGCGATGTTAGTACTTGTTACTGACTTTTAGTTCAATAAATTATATTTGAGCATTGACTTTTGCTTTTAGATTACTATATGCATTCTGTTCTTTGGGATAATTTTACAAGTCCTTTGGGTTTCTGATTGACGGAATGTATAGCAGGGAGCACTACCTGCAGGTTGCTTCTATGTCAAAAAAAAAAAGAATAAAAACTCCTGGCAGTTAAAAGTGTTAGCATAGCTCAGTTAAAAAAACTCCTACTTGTTATTGACTATAGCTATCCTGACACTTTCAATTATCAAGAAAAGGGATTTTTGTTCGCAGATGAGATGCTATAACAACATAGTTTTCCTGACACATTTGAATGCTACGAGCCTATCCCCACATTGGAAGGGACAACACTCGTCCGAGGTGTGAGAAAAGGTAAAGTGTCAGGTTAGATTCTCTATACTGACACCTTTAAATGCCGTTAAAGGTCATTTTTGTTGTAGAACATTATTTGATTGAAACTATAAGGTGCATAACTGATTATTATATTGCTCATTCATTGTTCCATGAGCCAGGTCATTGTCTTATATTTTATGGCTCATTTTTCCCCCTTTTATCAGGCTAAACTTAAAAGTCTACATTAAACGATGTGTCCAGAACATTAAAATCAAAACCAATAAGTAAAAGCTAAAGTATCTAATTATATAAAAAAAAACTATCTAAAATGTTAGGACTTTGAAATATCTTTACATGACAAAAGTATTCAATGCATACAAACTATAAAATTTTGTTAACAGAAATCAAAATATGTCGCATTAAACACATGCTACATTTAGGCAAGAACTCCTAACATAACAAAGAAAGAAAACATAAGAATCACAAAAAGCAATAGTCTTTACTTTATTTAAATTTGCAATAATCTTCTAAGAGGTATAGAAATTTCTCAAAGCACACCCTATGATTTCATCAAAGGTAAAAATGACAAACCAAAGTTAACTAACAACTAATGGCTTCCCATAGATAGATCTAGGATTCTCATTTGTTTTGTCATTCCACTTGTCACATATCAAATAAATATCTCTAATTTTTCATATTCAACAGTTCAAGTATAGAAAATGTCACCCTGACATTCAATAGGATTTGAAGTTTTGAATGGTTCCAAGGTCTCTCATGGACTTCTATATCAGCTACAAATGTGAAGTTAATAGTCGTTAAAATGCTTTCTTCACACATTAATTTGGACAAAAATTTCTCAAATGATCATTAGAAGAAAAACAATACTTACACATGATGCATTCATGTTTGAACTTCTCATACTTTACAACTATTAAGTCCCACCAGTTTACGAAATCTGAAATGTTATAGTAGACTCTCCAAACATTTAGAAATTGAGAAGTTGTTCCTGGACTATAAGTTTACAAATCAATTTCATTAGTTATTAAAAGGTTAGGATTTGTTAGA